CTGTAGATTGCTGGTGCGTTCCAGGCAGCCTCCCGCCTGGGGAGACCATAAAGACGGGGCGTCGCCCCTAAGGAAGGCACAGCATTGCTGCTGTGAAATATACGAGCCTTGAGCCTTTGGGTTCTGATTAGCAGATAAGAGTCAAACTAGCTTAACTCCCACTTTGCTTCACCAAATTGGAACTCTGTAAACGCAGGCGCCAGGGGAGCTTGTTGGGATAGGCGCTGACTAAGTGGATCCCAAGGTGGAAGCCCGTCCACCTGCGTCACTTCACCCTGCAGCCTCTCCCCTTGAGACTCTCAGCCGAGATGGTGAGAGCCCTTGTCTTGCAGAGGTGGAGAATAGGGGGTAGATTTGACAACAGAATTTAGCCAAAGCTCCGGGATGATGCTGGTTTCCAGTGCCCCCAGTCCCTACAGAAACACAGCTCAAGCTAGAGTGTCCCCAGTGCGTCCGAGTGGGTGTCCCACGTCTGCTAACTATTGCATCTGGCTATTTTTCAGGTTTGGTCTTCTCCCACCGTTGTAGGACACAAGGTGCTGACCCCAGACACCTGCCATGAAACTGCACTTGAAGCAATGGAGACAACGGATGCTCTTCGGGATATTTGTTTGGGGGCTCCTCTTTTTGGTGATTTTCATCTACTTCACCGACAGCAGCCCTGCTGCACCCGTACCGAGCTCCGTCTCCTTCCTGGAGACCAGGAGGCTCCTGCCCATCCAGGGGAAGCAGCGGGCCATCATGGGCGCCATGCACGAGGCCCCCTCGCCCACAAGCACGGGTGCGAACAAGCTCCTGCCCCCGGGACAGCCGGCCGACCCCCTGCACGCGGGACCTGGCGACCCACAGACGTGGGATGAGTTTGACAATGAAGATTTCTTTTCATCCCAGGTTGGGAGAAAATCTCAAAGTGCTTTCTACCCGGACGACGACGACTACTTTTTTGCTGCAGATCGGCCAGAGTGGCACGCTCCGGGGATGTTGGGACTCCCTGCCCCGCTGCAGCCGGGCCAGCGGGAGGGGACTTTGCCGCCTGGGCAGGTGCAGAGAAGGCGGATGAAGAGGCACCCGAGACCGAGAAGGAGCCGAGTGCCGGAGGAGGGCGACGACGGGGACAGGCCGTACTCATCCATGTCCAGGGCCTTCCTGTACCGGCTCTGGAAGGGCAAC